GAGTCTATCGTCATTACTGTGGGGACTGCGTGGATGCGTTTGGACAAGTGGTCCACCATGACCAGGATGGCATTGTACCCCTTCGACTCTGGGAGCTCTCCTACCATGTCCACTGAGATTATCTGCCAGCGGTGGGTGGGGACCTTGTTTGGGGTGAGCTTCCCAACCTTTCGTGAGGGGAAAGGTTTGACTCGGTTGCAGGTATCGCACCCACGTACGTACTGCCCAATGTACTCTGCCATCCAGGGCCACCAGTAGTCATGGGAAACGAGTTCTAGGGTTTTCCATCGCCCCGGATGCCCCGTTGCCCATGCATCGTGGTGCAACCACACCAGGTCATGGCGGAGTTGTGGGTCTTTCAGTACGTACACCTTTCCTCGGTATAGGATTAACTCTCCTTGCTTCTCCCATTCATCCGACCTCAGGGTCCCTTCTCCCAGTTCCCACATGGCTTTTACCACCCTCTCGTCGTGTTCCTTCACTCCACGTATCCTCTCTAGGATCCCCACCTCTTCTCCCTCTACCGAGATCACTTCTGTTGCCTGGGCTTCAAACCAGGTGGGTTGGAGGAGTGTCAGCCCCTCGTTGTCATCTTTCCCCTTTGGGTGGTCAGCGCATCGTGAGAGTGCGTCTGGCTTCCCCATGAGTTTCCCTGGGGGTGGATGAGGGTGAAATAGAAGCGGGAGAGGAAGAGGGACCACTGTGCTTGGCACCAGTTCAGCCTCTGGGCCGTGCAGAAGTACCCCAAGTTGCGGTGATCCGTGTAGACCTCAACCCTCTCCTTGGCACCCTCCAGGAAGTGCTGCCACTCTTCAAGGGCTTGGACGATTGCGAGCATCTCCTTGTCGTATACCTCGTAGTTGCATTCCACGTCCATAAGCTTTTGGACATGAATGCTACCGGGTGGAACTCTCTGTCCGACTGGAGCTGAGAGAGGACTGCACTGGTTGCGAAGTTGGAGGCGTCGCACTCGAGCCTGAAGTGGCTGGAGTCAGTGGGGAAGGAGAGGACAGGGGCAGTGGTGACGGCCTCCTTAAGGGCGTGGAAGGCGTGGTCCTCGTCCGGGCCCCAGTTACAGACCTTGGTCTTCCGGGTCAGTGCATGAAGTGGGCAGGCCTTCTCAGAGAAGTCTCTGATGAACCGGCGATAGAAATTCACAAACCCTAGGAAGGACTGCACTTCCTTTACCTTGGTTGGGGTGGGCCAGTCAAGGACTCCTCTAATCTTCACAGGGTCCATCGCGACACTTCCCTCAGAGATGACAAGTCCGAGATACTCGATCTGCGTCTGCTCGAACTTGCACTTCTCTGGCTTCAGGAAGAGCTTCCTCTTTCGCAACGTCTCCAGGACTTCTCGGATGACCCTCCGGTGCTCCTCTAGGGTAGTGGTGAAAATGAGGATGTCATCCATGTAACAGATGACAACCTCCTGGTCGATGAAATCCTGGAGGATGTCGTTCATCATGGTTTGGAAGGTCATGGGTGAGTTGCATAGCCTGAAGAACATTACCATGGGCTCGAACAGCCCCCAGTTGGTTGCGAATGTGGCCTTCCACTCATCACCATCCTTGATTCAGACGTTGTTGAACCCCCAGCACAGGTCTAGCACTGAGAAGTACTTGGCATTGCGGAGGCAGGCAAGGACATCAGAGATGAGCGGGAGCGGGTACGAGTTCTTTACCATGATCTCGTTCAGTTTCTGGTAGTCCTGAACTAGCCGTAGTGACCTGTCTTTCTTCTTAACAAAGAAGACTGGGGCCCCCATCAGGGACTTGGACGGCTGGATGCGTCCGTTCTGCAGGTTCTCTCACAGAAACTCGTCCAGCTCCTTCTGCTCTGGCTGTGAGAGTGGGAAGGTCTTCCCTCTGGGGAGCTTGGCGTCCGGCACTAGATCAATGGTGTGGTCCCAGGGTTTCCGGGGGGGTAGTTGATCGAAGGCCTCTTTCGAGAACACATCCCGGAAATCCTGGTATTGCTCTGGCACCAATGCTTCAAACAATGCGGGTTCTGCCTCCGGGTCGTGGGCTTCTTGGGCCATCTGCTGGGAGGGTGTAGTAGTCGCTCTTAGCTCATGTCCCCACTCTGGAGGAATGATCACGGCATAGATCCTGTCTCCAGGCTCTAGCATGGGGTCTTGGTCACCTTGTGCTCGTGGTGGCCGGCAGGAGGATGGGCAGCAGGACATGACGACCTTTTGCCGTACCCAGTCCACCTCCGGGTTGTGGTGCAGCAGCCATGAGTGTCCTATGATGAGGGACTGTCACCCGAGGTTCCGACTGCGAAGCGGGCCCACTCTGTATGGCATCCGAATGTCAAGAGGGCCTCTAATTCTTCGGTTATGGCCCCATTCTCGTTTGGGGTTCCATCGACGTTACGGACGGGATGGGTGTGGGGAGTGGGGTGGTCTTGAGCTTGTGCCTCCGGACGAACTCAGGGCTCACGAAGTTTCCGGTGGCTCCCGAGTCTAGGAGCGCTGATACAGACACAGAGGCAAGGGAGGTCAGGGAGGTCAGCCTCACGGCAAGGTTGAGGGATCTTGGGGACCGTTTGGAGAGGATGTAGATAGCAGGTGGGGACACTGCTACCTCTGGGGTCGTCTCTGTGGTTTCCTCATCCTTGCAGGCCCAGGGTGCTCCCTTTCTCCTTTTCTTTGCAATGACCCGATGGAGCTTCGGTGCTGGTGGTGGCTCATGGACATCGTGGCGCTGCGTGAGCTATCCCTTATGGGTGGCTGGCATGCGCTCCCTACAGGCTGGGTCTCCGGGTGCCCTCTTTGGTCCGGGTCTAGTCTTTTCCCTCCTGCCTCTGGTCCTTTCATCGCTTGGCCCTTCAACCCCTTCATCAGCGTTTGAAGGTCTTCCGGGTGCAGGCATTGTGTCTGGCAGGTCTCGGGGTGTGGGTTACAAGGGTCGTGGGTGGGGCAGGTGGAGGGGGCCCAGGTGAGGGCGTGCATGGCTGCATCCTCTGGAAGCGCTGCCACTGGCTGTCAAGGAGCGTGGCTTCACACTTCCATTCGGCCCAGGTGGTGGGCATAGGGTGGAGCTAGTAGATGCTCTCGTGGAGCCAGGAGTTGATTGCCCGCTCAAAGCAGTCGACTAGCCCTACATTGCCTAGCTGCGAGGTGGGCCCTAGTATCTCAAACTCCTGGATGAGTCTGTCCACGGGGTCACTTCCCTGTCAGATGGTAGCCAGCCTCTGCCAGGCTGTGGCCGCCCAGTTTGGGTCTTGGAACATGGCGTCAAGCTCTGCATTGAACTTGTCCATGGTGGGTGTAGGGGAGCCCGTCCTCAGTAGCGCCATGGTGCATTGCGTTGCCCATGCTCCTGCAGTCCCTCCCTTCATGTAGGAAAGCATGAAGAGGACTTGGGAGAGGGTGCTGGGGAATTCAGCCGTGCGGACGTAGAGATAGATCCCGCATTTGGCCTTAAAGCGGTCGAGGTCCTCGTTGACTCCCGAGAAGGGGGTGGGGGGGGGCAACTTTGGGTGGTCTGGGCACATGTGCGGGCTGGCCCTGGGCTTGGGCTACCACAGTGGCCTGTAGTTCCTGGAACCGGGCCAGCAGGTCGTCATACTGTTCTTGTGTCACCATGGCGGGGGAGGTGGGGGGAAATGGGGTTGAAACCTTCTTCTGCTGTCAGGGACCGACCCAGGGTCGAGAGCGCCCAGGTATATCGCCCGGGGCTGAGGGTCCGGTAGGTATGACGCAGGCCCGTGTAACAACGGGCCCGAAGCAGACGAGGGTCCCTGGCCACTCAGGCTAAAGTGGGAAATGTGTTATTGTTATTAACAAGGGAAATGTAAGCTACTTGCCTAAAGTGGGAAATGTGAGAAGAAGGTTGCTTCTCAGTTCCCACTTAGGCTGTGTTTATATACATGTGGTTGAGGCCACGTGGGAAGCGCCACATCATCTACATGCACAGCCGCATCCATCCGGGTACCTCCGTAAGAGGTCCTAGGAGCGTCTGGTATGCGGGAGGTCATCCAGTGTGTCCAGGTCCAGGCGTGTTACACTGCAGCCAGGTCAATGGTACATTGATACAAAGGAAGTCGTCCGTGTGATAAGAAAAGAATAAAGAGGAAAGAGAAGAGAGAAGAGAGGAAAGAAGAAAGAGAAGAGTAAAAGGGGAAGAGGGGGGAGGTCAGGAGGAGCGGGTGGTGGGGCACTGGGCGAGGTGGGGCCAGGTCAGGTGGGTGTGCCCTGACAGCAAATGACTGTAGTCCATCTGTGTACTTGTCATATTGTCAGGGATCAGCAATGACCCTGGACCCTATGCCGGCTGTGCATATGCACGTGGGAAGTATGCCGGTAATTCCCGTCTACTCCACTTACCTAAGCCCCGGTGACCCGGATCATCTCCGGCATTGTTCTGGAACATTCTATGATCATGTGATTCTATCGGCAATCTGTTTGGTTTCCTTATTGCCGGACTCTACATGTATATAGCTGACCCTAAGATGGGGACATCCCTTTCCCCCGGCTTTAATCACAACTAGGTTATCGGAGCACCTTGCGCGAGCACGCGCGTCCCCTGACACATATCGGCAAACCCCTTTTGAAGCAGCATATCAATTATACACTCTGGCTGGTTTGCATGGGTGGACTCAGGTGCAAGTGTGTGACGATGAAAGCTCCACTGTGATCAGGCAGGTGGTGCCACTCACCGGTATAATAAACATACTGGGATAGATGAAATAGATTATCAGTAGTACAAGATCGCATCGTTCAGGGCAAGATCTCTACTCTTATAGAGGCCGGTATCCTGCCTAGGGAAGATCCCAGAGGTGCATATATGCAAAGCTGCCATGTCCACTTTAGCAGAAGTTGTTGTTTAGGTATAGAGGCTGGTATCCTGTCTAGTGAAATCCTTACACCGCTCCAGTCTTCAAGTCCACAAGCACCAATAACCCTTCAATTAGAGTTAGAGAGCCTATTAGCACAGAACATTCTAGCTGCATGACCTTCTCGTAGCGAGGATCTCAGCAAGATAATAAATGGAACCAAACAGTGAGACAATTACATAAAATCCTACAAACACCAGTTTGTTTACATCAGCGAGCTCGGGATAATTTGAGCCTCGCTCATGCACTTCTTTCCCTGCATTTATAAAGTGGTCAGTTAAACCATTCGGAGTGTTCATTCAGAGTGTTCATTCTCACGTTTTCAGTCCATGTAAGATACGCTTGAAGCTCTGTTCCACCAAATTTGATGCCAATGTTATATTCCACCTTCCAATATTTTCCCTTGACTCCCCGATGCTCTTTAAGGGCCCCAGATAACCGGCTTAGATCTGCGGAGATGACACAAACTCTCTCCATTCCCGGTGTAAGATTTTCTGAAAAAGTTTGATCAATCATGAGTATAAAATATCATCTGGGGTTTACCGTCAGCATCCTTTACGTAGTAAGGCTCTTCCTGCCCATTGAGTAGGGTATAAGCAAATACCGCTTCTGTGAAATGAGTAAGATTTGGAGAAATAACTTCGTATGTACGATAGTAAGGCCTCTCAACACCGTCATTTGACTGGTAGACGTCCCCCTAAAATGAATTAGTGGTACATAAGCTATATCTATTATGATTTTCGAACTCACACGCCTGACAAGGGGTTGCCACACAGAGCATGTCCACTCTTTCCCATCATTTGAATAGTGGGGTGTTCGCTTACTGTGCTGCGGGTCCTCTGGATTGTACAGTACACTTTTGGACGTCCCGTAGTCGAAGCGGCAAGCCCGGGCAGTGACTAGAGATATGGCATGGAAAATAACCACACCATCCGATACTGCTTTAGATCTGCGAGCAGGGGTGATTACTGTGACGAGTTGCATATATTGGATAGATCCAAACCCACGTTGAGTCATTTGCAGTGACTACTTGGCAGTCTCTGCTCCCGAACGTTTTCTTAAGTGTTTCCCTTAGAAACCTGTTTTCTCCAAAGCCTCCAACAACCAAAATATGCTTGCAGTTAACACCAGACATTTGCTCCTTTAAAGAGTCAACAATCTGGTTTACGACCGGTTGGAAGAAAGTCCCGGTGGTCGTCCTTCGGACCATTTGTCAGCTATAGTAGTGTATGCAAAGGTGAAATGAATCACCCGTCCAGCGTCATCCGCCCACGCTTCACACCAACAGCTGGATTATTGTATCGACTCATCCCAAGGTCCAGGCTCCCTTTACTTGTTATGTCATTGAAGGCTTTTTTGACGGTCATTTCAAAAGCATCCACGGCATTTCTGACCAAGTCTCTAGTTTCATCCGGTGGAATATTTGCCTCGGGGTTTGAAAATACGCGGTGGAAGTATTCTTCCGCAGCAATGTTTACAAATACACCACCTGCCAGAATACAAGCCGACGGTTTCACTTCGTGGAGCTGAAGCCGGGGATGAACTTGGGAGACTGAGTAGGTGGTTGTATCGACTGTTGATCCACCTATCACAAATTTCATCTTAACAAAATCATTCAATGGAACGATTCTGGCACCCACCAGCATCACAGACGATGAACTTCACGTTTTCCTAATATAGATGACATGGCAGGTTCCAGCTATGACAATCATGCCAAAAGAGCATTCACCTTGAGCTGTGGTGCTAAGTTGGCGTAAAACATGCAGTAATGGACAGAAGCTTCTCCTTCAGTGACAAAGAAGATTCGGGTACGCGACTGGGACCGGGGGACGATATTAGCTGCCACTGCAGCTTCTCGCATGAATTCTTGTTCCCTCAAGCCCCATCCATTCGGGTGGGCAATGACAACATCAGCAGAGGGGAAAAGCATCTCCCACATGCGAGTTCCATCGAGGACACAGTCTTCAAACGCATCTTGAGTGTGCTGAATGAGATATCCAAAGAAGTCTCTATATATGGTTGAGAGGGGAACGCCTTCAGGCAGCGCTGTCCCAAAGATGGTCAACTCGACAACTACAGGTGACAAAGTTAACGAGTAGTACACACGATCGAGGGTCAAATTATGCATCTCCTTCATCGCTTTGGGGTGTAGGTGGAGTTTGAAATGCCTTGCAAGACTCCAACCGCTGTCCTCTGCTTCATCTTGTGTCTCGGCGCTTAACGCCTCGGCGCCAAACGCGGTGGCCTGATCGCAGAGGAAAGGGCAGCAGAGCAATCGGGACCACATAGATACCATTCATGCAGTGGAAAAGCCCACTTACTTTCTTATTCTTGTCATACCATATCTGAGTCGGGATCTTACTGTCACCTGAGTGGGCTTCCTGCCCGGGCCATGCATTCACTCTCATGACTGCCTGGGGACCTCTCCACACCTACAAGGTGAGGAATGGGTCATGAATACGAAGATGAAAACATACTCTGGAAAGAGGTATGCAAATGACACTCCAGAGAACGTCGTGCCAATATCGAGTCCCAGTATTATTTTTGGCTTGCGCATCCACGGATCCGCAGAAAAAGACTTCATGTTGATTACTTGAATGTTTCCAAAGGGCTAGGGTGATAATCAACGAAGAGATGCAGAGAGCTCAACTCGGCTTGCATGCATCGCTTTACATCAGAGAGGACCGCACAGTTACTGAATTAATGCAGTCTTGGCGTTCGTTACTCGGAGATCCTATCATTGCGTGCACTTATTCAAATCAGGTGTAAGTGTTGGCAGTGCGGCTGACCCGCCATACTACAGCGGAGTGTACATGATCACCAATACATGGTAGGGATGTCTGGTTGGTGTGGTCGGGGTGACAGGGTCCTCCGGGTCGTGATGTCGGGGTTGTCGTGTGGACTGTATTGCCCATTTAGACAACCCCCGCAGTTACTGAATCAATGCAGTCTTGGCGTTCGTTACACACACAAACGCTTACTGTAAGCTATAAACAGTAGCAACGAGTACATACCACACACCAACTCCCTGGACGTTTGTTCCCGGGGTACGTACGCCATTCATTCATCGGACCATTCAAAAAGGAAGCAGGGATAGCCCTAAGTTATGCATAGCCGTAATCGCATCCTTTATCCCTCCTGTCCCCTCTTCCCTTTCCAATAAACAATGACACCTACATTGCCCGCGCTACCCGAACAAATAGTAAACACGTTCTTCCCAATGGCTGGCGCGAAGAACTGTTTGCACCCGCAACAGTAAGATCGGGTGAATGCGATGGATATGCATAATATATATAGCACTTGGGTTTGCCGAAATGCAACGAATCTGAGGTTTCCTCGCCCAGACGAAGCGAGGCCAAACGGCGGATGGAAATCAAACAGCTATCCCCTAAAATTCCCCGTTGATTTCGCCATTACAGATAGCATAATGCGCGTAAGTGCACGAGCACACGCGAAAAATCATTCCTGTCGACTCCCATATACGTCCATACAATACTACGTAGAGGAGAACACGGAATGTTCATATATGGAGCGAAAGCATTAACACCAACCTTGCCACTGTTGAAACAGCCTATCTATCGTGGCCTTCGCCTCGCCTCTTTCCCCGGCTCCTAGCCCCCGTTGTGTGTTGATCTCCCGATTCATCTGTATTGCCCTGAACATCGTTTCCTTGAAAGCCCAGGCTCGAGTCTTACAGAAATCTGTGAACTCCGTCAGGTCCCCACGTTGACAAGCATTCGCCCATTGCGTCCTCATGCGGTCCGACCATAATGTGCACCGTTGGTACTGGGGGGAATTTCGTGGGTCACAACGCCGCACGTGTTGGGCCAACGAACTGTTACGGATGACGTCGAAATAACACTCCTCGCAAGCAATGAAGCTGTCCCCGTCCCCATACCATCTCATGCGCTCGGGATCCGCTTCGACATGACCAAGTGGACAAAGGCGTAAGTCCTTCCTCTCCCGGACATACCGAAGGAAAATATCAATATCACCGACCGCACCGGCTTCATAAAGCTTTCGGATAAGCGTAGGGAAGTAAGGAGAGTAAGAATACAGATCACAGATTCTCCGCTGCGATGTTGCTCCATCGTCCGGGTTCACAGTGTCACGATAGAAATGAGACCCGAATCCGAGGGCATAAAAGAATGTGTAGTAACAACCTGAACAGATGTTACAGAGGTTTGGGGATGAAGTGATCCGATACCATTTCTTTCCAATTTCTTCCTGCCGGGTACGGGGCTCGCAATGGAGAATGACGAGGGCCACCTCACGCCATGTACTCATAGGAAGACTTGAGAGTCTGGCAATTTCCCAAGAGCATAGGAGGCGGCTATCACTCATCGCACATGACAGGAGGGGCTCCTGATTAGAGGGCGAGATGAGTGGCTCTGACTGCGATACGGGTTCCCACTCGGTGAGATAATCGGAAGGAGCGATAAACCTCTTATGGCAGGGGTCACAAACGGCAAGAGACTTGATATCCAAGTTGTCCCGGAGTCTCCACCACAACTCGGTGTGATTCCTGCTTTTCCGATAGCATTTCTTTCTGAATCCACTGCACAACTTCGTCACAACCGCACTCCACCCAAGATCCTGATTGTTGGAAACAAATGGATTTAATACAAGCCGACCCCACCCGTTACCCGCATCGCAGGTCCACACCTGGTCTGGCAACTGAGTGCGCCAATGCTTTCGGAAATGGGTATAATGAGGAGTTGCCATCACGACATCCTCATAGCACGCACGGCAAACGATGAAACCGGACAAGGGATCATTAGGATTGTTGGGATCCACTTTGAGAGTGAACCATTCCATGCGTGGTTCAGGGCCTGGAACGTACCCTCTGCTCCCTAAACAGTCAGGCATTGAGGCCCTAATTTCGAGATATGCAACAAGTGGGGACAAATCTCCAGTCTTGAGGGCCCCATTGAAGAGAATTCGTACGCGTGGCGCCCAATAACCACATCTCATCGGACGTGGTGGGAAGGCAGGAACTTCTCTACATGCCTGACCGAACCGAGTTGCCGCGATGTGCTCTTCGTAACAAAACGAGCAGAAGAATACTCCTGGCGCTGCGGAGAGTTCATACCAAGTGGCGGAAGGCCAGGTTGCAATGATGTTTTTCGGACAGACACGAGCGCGACGCGTTGAAACTTGCCTGACGATAGCCAAACCTAATTGCACAACTATGAGTTGACTGACGGAAAAACGAGGGACTTGAACTCCCCTTGACCAGTCTGACGTTGGGAAAGATCATACGCAGAACGTTTCGCTGGATCTGAAAATCATTCCTTTGTATGAGTATCTTGGCACAGTGGATAGCATGCCCAACGGCGCTAACCCGTTAACGATTGGTATGCTTCACCGATCTGCCCAGCAAGAAAGCTCAGGGCCCATTGGACCCAATTTAATGATATCTGCGACTTACCAGTTTGAATCTCTCTGCAGCAGCCGTGTTCCCCCTGTTTTTGTCCGGGTGCCATTTATTCGCCAAAATCTGGTATTCTGCGCCCAAATGACAGAGTCCCTCGTAACGCCAGCGATCAGTAGTACGTACGATCGTTGATCACATCTGCTGAAGCGGTTGACGGTACATCGAGTGCCTCATAGTAGTTCATGGTGTCAAGAATAGTTCACCTGCCCACTTGCCTTATGGGTCATGTCGTCAGCGGAAAATCAAATTGTGCACTACGATTGATCGGTTGCAGGCTTATTGAAGGCTGTTTCCCGCTGTAGTAGCTGGTGCGCCATCCTCAGGCAATGCGGCAGCAGAAATATGCCATAGTTGCGTAGTGCTTCGGGCACGGGTGAATGGCGAAGAATAAAAGAATTCGCCAATACAATTGGTGGTACTGGTAGCTGGAGTTACCAAAAATCAAAGGACTCCCGGGTAGCGGACAGCCTCATCGACGCCCTATGGAGGACCTGGATTCCGTTGAAAAATTGGGCCCTGCGGTGATGTAGCGGAAATAATTTGTGTATTCTACGCATTTGCTTATGATCAATGGTGCAGCAAAAAAAATACATGAAACCACACATGCGGCGGAACAATTACATAATGTCCAACAAGCCAGTGGAAACGTTAGAAATGAATCCCATTTCAAGGCTTCTTCACATCAGCGAGTTCGGGATAATTTGAGCCTCACTTGTGCGGTTCTTTCCCTGCGTTCAGAAGGGTATCAATAAGACTGAAAATCCTGAATGTCCACACCCACATCCTCGGTCCATGTAATATACGCTTGAAGCTCTGTTCCCCCAAATTTGATGCAGATGTTGAAACGCAATTTCCAGTATTTCCCCTGCACTCCCTGACACTCTTCAAGAGCCCCAGATAATCCGCTCATATCTGCAGAGATAGTGCAAATTTCCTCAAATCCCGGTGCAAGGGTTCCTAACAAAATGACAGGCACTGGTTCAAGAACAAGATCAGATATTTACCGTAGAGATCCGTTATAAAGTGGGGCTCTTCCTGCCCATTTAAGGTGTAAGCATATATGGTCTTTGTTATATGGCAAAGGTTAGGAGGAGTTGCGTAACTGCGGCTCCAACCAAGCTCAACATCGTCGTTCGGCTGGTGGATGTTTCCCTGCAATGGATTAGCGGTATATATGCCAACGTTATTCGTTATGATCTTCGAACGCACGCGCCTGACGAGGGGACACCACACATCAGAAATCTTATTTCCCCCATCAAATGAGGAGTACGGTGTTCGCCTAGTGTGCCGCGGGTCCTCCGAATCGTACGGCGTGCTGTTGGACACCCCATAGTCGAAGCGGCAAGCACGTGCAGTGACTAAGCATGTGGCATGCCACATAATCATACCATCCGATACTGCTTTAGATCTGCCATCAGGGATGAGGAGTCGTAGGTATTGAATAAGGATAGAAACCCACGTGGAGTCGTTTGCAGAGACCATTTGGCAGTTTCTGCTCTCGAAAGTATTCTTAAGCATTTCTTTCAGAAACCCATTTTCTCAAAACCCTCCAACAACCAATATGTGCTCGCAATTGATACCGGACATTTGCTCCTTCAAAGACTCGACAATCTGATCCACGAATGGTTGGAAGAATGTCCGTATGGTTGTCCTGCGGACCATGTTTGTCAGCTGTGGATAGTGCTCGTGAAGACAAAGATAAATCACCCGTCCAGCGCCATCCGCCCACGCCTTACACCAACAGCCGGATTAGTGTATCGGCTCAGTCCTAGGTCCAAGCTTCCTTTACTCGTTGCATTCTTGAAGGTTTTCTTGGCGGTCATCTCAAAGGCATCCACAGCGTTTTTGACCAAGTCTTTAACTTCATCGCGTGGAAGATTCGCTTCAGGGTTTGAAAATACACGTTGGAAGTACTCTTCCGCAGCTTTATTTACAAATACACCGCCTGCCTGAATACAAGCCGACGGTTTCACTTCGCGGAGCCGAAGCCGGGGACGAACTTTTGACACTGAGTAGGTGGTTGTATCGACTGTCGATCCACCTATCACCAAGTTCAACTTAAATAAAACCATTCGACGGAACAATTCTAGCACCTACCGGCGTCGCAGACGATGAACTTCATGTTTTCCTAATATATGTGACGTAGTGAGTTGCAGCTAACATGGAAATCATGCCAAAGGAGCATTTACCTTGAGTTGTGAAGCCAGGTTGGCGTAAAACATGCAGTAATGGACCGAAGCTTCTCCTTCAGTGACAAAGAAGATCCGGGTACGCGACTGGGACTGAGGGACGATATTAGCTGCCACTGCAGCTCTGCGCATAAATTCTTGTTCTCTAGGGCCCCACCCATTCGGGTGGGCAACGACAACATCAGCAGTGGGAAAATGCAGCTTCCAGACGCGAGCCCCATCGAGGACACGTTCTTCGAACGTGTCTTGGGTATGCTTAATGAGATATCCAAAGAAGTCTCTGTACATGGCCGAGAGGGGAACGCCTTCAGGAAGGGCTGTCGCGAAGATGGTCAACTCCGAGTCGACAACTACGGGTAACAGAGTTAGCGAGTAACACATACGATCGACAGTCAAATCATGCTTCTTCTTCATCGTTCCGGGGTGCAGATGAAGTTTGAAATTCCCTGCAAGGCTCCAACCATTGTCCTCTGCTTCGTCTTGCATCTCGGCGCCGAACGCAGTGGCCTGATTGCAAAAGAGAGGGCAGTAGGGTAATCAGGACACCTAGATGCCATTCGTGCAGTAGAAAAGCCTGCTTACTTTCTTATTCTTGTCGTACCATACAAGGGTCGGGATCTTACTGGCACCTACGTGGGCTTCCTGCCCGAGCCATGCATTCACTCTCGTGACCATCTGGGGACCCCTAGACACGTACAAGGTCAGGAAATGCACCATATATTATATGAACACGAAGAGCGGAAAACATACTCTGGAAAGAGGTATGCAAATGATACTCCAGAGAACGTTGTGCCAATATCAAAGCCCAGAATAATCTTGTGCTTGCGCGTCCATGATTCCGCAGAAAAAGACGTCATCCTGGCTACTTGAATGTTCCCAAAGGGCTAGGATGATGATTAACGAAGAGATGCAAAAAGCTCAGTTCAGTTTGCATGGAGTTACACCAAATCAAGAACTCTCTCCTATTTCAAATGCAACACAACCAGTATTAAAAGTATGCAGGACTGCTTCTGGATTGGTGTTTGTGTGTGTCTGCGTGTCCTTCCCGTCAGTACAACAACTTAGTCCAACATTGAGGTGACGAGTCACGATGCACAGGTCTACACAATCAATTATATGAGTCAGGGTCATGGCTCTTTGAACGATTTGGAACATATTCCATGAATTCCATCCCCACCATATGCATGATAAGTCCTCGGTAGGGCTGTCTGACCGCAGCCTTTTGATAGGCGGCTTATGTCGACTCCCCGTCACCCAACGTAAATCATTGATATATGCAAATGGCTTTTTCATGGCTGCTCTTTTTCGCAGCCCCGACATTCCCTTCTAGTGCATAAGGAGACTCGTACCCAGTCATCGTCACTCGGTGGATGTGTTATCTCCAGCAGCTCAGATGAGTGTGCATCGCTAAATCAGGCAGCGTTGGGCAATATAAAGACCATTACATGTATTGTAGCGGAGTTGTCCGAATTTATTGTTATATTGTTATATTACATAAGCTTCATGGTGGCGAACTCGGCTATTAGTATTTGCTGCCCTCTGTCATCTCAGCCCTTCAACGCAAAACCCACCAAGTGCATTCTTTGCGAGCTGCACAGTGGGAAGTAACCCCAGCAAATGGTAATGGGTTGACCCGGTACCAACCTTGCTAGGTAGCCCCGTTACTAGTTGACGGGGCCAATCATCAGACTTCGAGTGCCGGGACCTCCTATCAGATATGCGCAGTCTGACGGGGCCATCCTGATGGGGTGCCCCAGAAGGTATCGATAGGGGACCCCAGCTGTTTAATAATAAGCCATAATAGATTCATTTGGCATTATATTATACATGGATACACAGGATAATGATAGCATTTGCCATCGGAAAGGTCGGAGCAGCAAACAAAGGTTGTGCAGACATGAGCGGTGACCTTGAGGCAAGGCTGGTATACTTAATGCAAGTGCGCAACTAAAAGTGTATGAGCCGACGAGAAGGTGCAAACAATCTTGACTTAGGTCGCACCGATATACACCATAGAGGCTGGAGTCCTGCCTAGCAGCGAAAGGAGGGATGTTCGGGCTGTAGCACAGGGGAGTTACTCTGCGAGTATGTGTAAAGTGTCTATATGCTCACCAGTGATAATATATCAGCTTTTTGGTGCCTGCAAAGGGAACGAGTCAGAACTAAATCTATAGGTAGAGCTAAAATTTGTGTTGTCCAATTGAGCACGCACATCCTTATCAATGCAGATACTCACTTTCTTGGACCAATGTATAGCTTTTCTGTCCTCATCAAGGTGCTTCGGTGCGAAGAGATGGCCTAGAATTCCGGGTCCAGAAAGGTAGGTCAACAGGGGGAGAACTCACTGATCAGGTATTGGGATTTGCGATGTTCTGTGGGCGTCGGGAACGACAAAATGGCTGAAGCGATGTAAAGCACGTACTCCTATATGCATTATTACATACTCCCACTGCCCCCTGAGAACTGCAACAGCCAAAGAGCTGCTCTTTCAACCCCCCAATTTGGCATCTTAATAATGCGATCTCACAGCTTTTATTTGTAATTAGTTGGGCCCGTAAACGACGACATATCTGTTTCCAATCATACAAGGGTGATTGTGAGCATGTATGACCGTTTTCATACATACTGGGGATGCAAGATATTAGACGCGTTTTATCATGGCGGTGAAGGGATTGGGATTGCAGAAAACATGTTACATTACCTTTAATATGGTTACACCTTCTCCAGCCCAACTTCGCTGAAAATCCCGTCACCGCTGTCGATCGCATTTAAAGATGAAGCCATCGGTTTGAGTGACAATGGAGGATCGACGCGTTATTTTGCTTTGTTTACTGCCATTTACAACAAGCTCGATCTTAGACGCGTGCTCTTACAATGATGAAGGGAAAGCAAGAATCTTACCCTCGCTACCCACCTAAATCACCAAATTCGGACAAAAATGCCATCTGGTGGGAATGCGCACATGGACAGGTGCTGTTAGTCATCTTTCTGTATGGGTCATGATGAGCTTGAGAAAAGGGTGCTTCTCTTCTATGCTGAATCTCCACCCAAATCGCTTGCAAGATGTTTTATGTGCGCAAATTCTGGTCTATTTCGGCTACTCAAAAAGACGTTATAACTGAATGAAATTCTTGCCAATAGGAAATGCCTTCTCCAACTACGCTGCAACGGATTTCGTGCCCATCATCCAAGATGATCGCAAAATTGATGGAAAGGATGTGGTTACTTTCAAGAAAATGACCTGTGCGCTATTGTTGGATCAGAGCACAGATAACGCTGGAACGGGCTTAAAGAGGACGATAGGGACTCCCGGTATTTCTAATTTAATGATGGTAGAACCCAGTACAATCTGATGGGGAACTTCATGCAGCGGATAATGCTAGGATGGACTTGAAAAAGGACGACGTGGAACTCAGCAATATGATATTAGAATCCTCTCAGTTAATGTGTTTTGGTATCAATATGTAAATCGGAATACAGATGCTAGGTAGCCCCAGTACTACACACGACTTAACAGCTGAAAAAAGCTGATAGGGAGTCCCAGCATTTCTGATTAAGTGATGGTGCACCCCGGTACGATCTGATGGGGGGACTTCCCACAGTGGCTGCCTCTGTTCCATTTGGGCTCTCCTGTGGGATGGGTGTCATATCCATATCAACTCTGCCTCACCTCCGCTCCACTCCACCACTGTTCCGGTCCACCTCTGGTCCGTCCTCCCCCTGCACCTCCGCTATACCCTCCGGTTCACCTCCAGTTCACCTCTGCCTCCGATCTCCGGTACCTCTTACTGTACTGGCACGACCAACAACCTCTTCCCACGGCCTCCGGGAGTTACCGGAGCCATAAATCAATTCAATTTTGTTGATTTTTAATTCAATCCAAGACCTTCACATGACACGTGACAGGTTGTTGGTCGTGCCAGTACAGTATCCTCATCCTACACATTTATTAATATTTCTATCTACCCAATATTACTACAGACCTCAGCCCACTCTGCAAAGGTTTTCCCACTTCCAGTAGCTGTCGCTAATTCCACCCTTCACCTACCCACTCCACAACGCCTGATAAGGCGATTCTCTCACAAGCTCGCTGACCCGGCAAGTGGGTAAGTCCCCCTTGGGTTTTCCCCTTTGTTCCCATTTGTCCTCTATTATGTATATAAGTCCTGTACTGTAGTTGATGGCACCTCAGTGCAAAATTGACGACTAGACTCCCCCCAGAGTTCGTGCCCTCTTGTTCTGAAGTTAAGGACCAGACTCCTAAAGCATTACTGAACGTAGGCACAGTGCTCCTCTCCAAGTCGCTGAGGCTGCAGTCCCTCTGCTCGTTCTCTACCTCTGGCCTCCTTCTGGGGAAAGGTCCAGGGTGTCAGAGACCAGATCGAGATGAAGGAAGGTCTCCATGGCGGAGGGCTTTGGCCTCAGTGACTTATGCCAGGAGTGCTGTGCCAAGTAACACATCCGTGCCCTAACTTACTAAGAATGGCAACTTGCACAAGTCATCACTATCCGGATACAAACTATTTCAAAATAAACCAACACTCTCATTTTTGACACAACATGTCCTAGTGAATTCTGTGACCACCAACCTGTAGAGTACATAGTAAAGAAGATAATTGTGGTTGCCAAATTTCAATATTCAGACTCAGTGAGAAGTGAGAGGGTTTTTTGCTTTCCTCCTGGAATTGACTCTTCTTTCAATCCTTGCCACTTAGGAGATAAGATTGAAAAATGAACAGTAAAATTTTGGCATGTATGGAATTCTGAAATCAATTCATTTGGCAATTACCGAATTACCAAAAATAGAAAACAACAAGCGTGAACAGCCTTTCTCCCTGATACTGTGTGCCATGCCTTTAGGGAGAAAGCAGAAACAATCTTGGGGAGTCCTCCCAATTGAGAGTGTCATGAAGTGTTAAGTCAATTCACACTTTGCATTTTCCTTAGAAATCACATGGAAATACCACTAATCCTGAATTAAAGAATCAACCACCACACCTCCTTCCCCAGAGCATCCACATGTTTCAGAGAACCACAAATGTAATTACATAAATCTGTAGCCACTTTATAAGACAAATGAGGCAAATGAAGATGGCTGAACTCCAATCTCGCTAACTTTGGTGGCACGTGACCGCTGAAGGAGAGAACGAAGGAAGGTCAGTTGGGAGGTTCAAACGAGACCACCACCAAGCTGTTCCCTGGTTCTTTAGTTAGGATGGGGAAGTGTACTAGTGTTATTTATTGTAAATATAGTACCAATCCGAGTGTTTTGGCTAATTCTATTTTTATGGGTTAGTTTTAAAGTTCCTGGGAATTGACTTACAGATAAACCGAGCCCTGTGGAGCTGTTTCTTTATTGAAATTTATTAATTTGTCTAGGTGTAATTCTGTGTAGCGTTGTTTAATTTGGATTTAAACTTGAATTTAATCTTCTACTTGGTGAAGTTTCAAAGATTCTATTCAGTTAATGAATTTGGATTGTGTCTGGAGTGTCCCTTGAGTTTGTTTTATTTTTGTCTTATTTTATTGCTTGTTTTAACAGTAGCAAGATAACTGTTGTGTTTACACTTTGAAATCTGGAGTGTTAACCAGCTCTCCTGTTGAAATATCTACTTAATATTTCTCTCCTTAATTGCTGCCTTTTACTACAGTGGCAATCTTAACTGTATATCACTTTTTCGCACTGGAGTGACAACCAGAAATGCTTGAGAAAAATAATACTCTATTTTCTTACTTCTCTAAGGGGGGCGAAAAGTCGCAGAAAGGGTCTCCCTTTTATACTCCTTGGGTTGCCTTCCTTTTTCACGCTCTACCTTCTATTTACAGGATTTATTTACAGTGTATTTTTCTCAAACTG